TTTTTGAAGGTGCTATTAAATGTTTTCATTGGCTGTGGTTGTGCAAAATCATTTCGGAAAGGAAGTTCCATGGAACTGAGGTTGGTCCTGCTTTGTTTGACACTGGAGGCTTGTGAGCCACAGTGATGGTCATGAATGCACCGGGAGGCAATGGAAGAGCCCCGCATCTTCTGGTAGTTGTCCAGCTCTTCTGACAGGTCAGCCAGGTCTGCAGATATCCCTTTGTCCCTAAGCAAAAATAGTTCATAATGAGGGGGATCAAACACTTCTTGGAATCCAGTTTTATTAAAAGTAGTTTTGCAAGCCATGACCTTTTTTCAAGGATGATTCACTTGTACTAAAATAGAAATAATGAGAAGGACCAAGACAATCCCTGATGTAATGCCAATAATTGTTCCATGAGTTTTAGTGATTTGTTCAAATAGTCCTGCCTTTTTCTTCTCTGTGGAGACACACACACACAAAAAAAAATCATTAATTTGAGTCCTGCCACAATTTGTAAGATATTTTTAAGGTAAAGTGGAACATTTGGGGATCAAATACACCAGAGAAGATGCAACTTAAAACTGGGTTTTCAGACAAAGAAAACAACCCTATTATTATGATTTATGATTCAAACAATCTATCACAAAACAGCTATACAAAATACAGAAAAGACAAAGAACTTGGTTCATTTACTGAGAGGTACATAAACCTATTGCTGTTTAGTTGGTTCATAGCAACTGTATAGGAAAAAGAACTATTCCTTAGGGATTCTGAGACTGTAAATATGTATGGAAGCAGACTGCCTCATGTGTCTCCCATGGAAGTGGCTGGCTGATAGGTTTGAACCACATCCCTTGCAGTTAGCAATTCAATGTATAATCTACTGTGCCACCATGGTTCTTTGAGAGATACTTGAAAGCATATAAGTTGCAAATCAAATTAAATGCAAAAATGTAGAATATGCCAAAACAAATACTTTTGTTCTATCAAGTTCAGTTTTCTGATCAATGGTAGGCTTGACCAATCATCCCTTTTAAGTACAGCCACAATATTTCTACTCTGGTAATAAAAATAAAGCGAACCCAACCCACTCTGCTATATTACCATGGTTTACTGATGTGGCGCTGTAGGATCAACACTGGTCTGCAAACTACAAGGTCGGTAGCTGAAACCCATCAGATGCTCCTCAGAAACCCTATACAGACAGGGTCACTATGAGTCAGAATCAACTTGATGGCACTTAACAACACCAACAACAACGGTTTTTGAATGATTACCTGAAAATATTTCATGTCAAGTACTCAAGATAACAATATCAAATCACATCACCTTTAGAATTTTAGGTTAGTTCAAAGACAATAATTTGACAGCTAACTTAGAGACATTTGACCACTACCAAATATACTCACTACCATGAAGTATATTTGTGGAGTCCTGGCATGGTGCTCTGGGTTAATGCGCCAGACTGCAAAGCAGTTTGAACTGCACGGTTGGTGGTTCAAGCTCACCAGCTGCTCCTTAGAACCCTATACAGGGTCGCTATGGGTCGGAACTGACTCGATGGCACTTCACAACAACAAAATGAAGTATATTTACCTTTCAGAAAGTATATATTAGAAATATTGCATAGGAAATTTTATTAAATCTGAAGTTCTTAAAGTGCGTTCTACTTTTGCAATATCACTGAATCTGTAGATTGATTTTCATTAAGTATGCAAATTAAATAGTCTTTTCCTATAGTTTTAAAAGAAAACTATGCTAGGCTATTTTAAAATTATTTTGAGCGCATTAACTAGGGATCCCTGCAATACCAATGCCAAACTTAAACAATGACAAAAAGTAAACTAAGAGCAAAATGTACTTTTACAGAACAAGAGACAAAGCTACCCTAAACCAATTGTTTCTTTGGTTAGAACCAATCATTTCCTTTGTTTTAACCAGTATCTCAGGAAGGTCTATGATCCATTTAAGAGAACATTTGGATGACATGACTCCATTTCTGCTAAAACAGTTATGCTAGGTGTAGTTGTAGAAAAGGCTATCTTAATGACAAGAACTGCTATTTTTCTTTCAAAAAGGTTGACTTTTTATCTGAACTTACCTTTACAATGATTTTCGTCCCAAGGGTATGCACAGTTTTGAACACCATTACAGACTAAAGAATTATTGATGCACATGTTGCTATGGCAAAAGAAAGTGCTGCCGGTGCAGGGAGCTGTAGGAAAAAAGAAAGCTGTTTTGCTAAGAAAAGAGAACATACAAACTCTACTTAGTTTATACTTAACTTTACAAAGTTCATTTCTTACTTCAAAAGCATTTCCGTGAATGTATTCTGTGTTTACAGATGGTAAGACAAAGGTCAGTGTTCTCTGACCCGAGTGAAGCTCTACTTACATTGGCCACTGAAAGGACATTTGGATATAAGGATCCTATAAGTACATTTCCCATGGCCCTTATGGAATATATAGCCTGGTAAATATTTCAAATTCTTAAAAGACAACAAAGGTAAATGGCATATCTATCATGTAATTTCATATTTTGTACAAGCTGTTCTTTCAGCTTGGAATGCCTCCTTTCCATTCCTGGAGATCATTTATCAATCACATTTATCAATCCTTAAAGAACATCTCAAATGTTGCTCTTTGTATCAATTCTCCTAGGGTAGCTAGTCACTCCATAAACTTCTCTATGTAGCATTTCTCACTGCATTTGTAACTACTTGTTATACTGGACTATGGTCCAATGTGTGTATGGACTTCTGTCATGAATTAATGACCTACACTAGAGATAGAAGTACAAACATGTACCATTAAGTGTCTCAGTGTAAAGACTAAAAATTGGATAGTCCAGATGTGGGACAGCTTGCTTTTCCATCCACTTAAACAAGATTATAGAATGGTGACAGAAATGCCAGAAATGAAATCATTTTGACTTCTGAAGTCATAATCAGACAAAAAGTATTTTCTGCCTAAATAATTTCTATGTGTTTTTTAATTTCAGAAAATATAGTTGAATATCACACTGTATCAAAAATATAGAACCTCAAATATTTTCTTGTATTTCTTTTTTTTAAAGTTTCTTTCCAAAATGAATATTAAGTGCATTTATAAGAAAGGGAGTATGGTGGCTCCATATGATAAGCACTGGACTGTGAACCACAAAGTGGGAGATTTGAGCCCACCAGTGGCTCCAAGGTAGAGAGATGAGGCTTTCTGCTCCTGCAAAGATTTTAAAGTCTCGGAAAACCTATGTACGGTCACTATGAGGTGGGACCAACTTGACAGTACTTAACAACAAACAGCCTTCAAAATGGATTTGAGTGGGTTCCTACCCCTTAAACATTATGTCTTTTAAAGAATATACACTAAGAGTCATTAAAATAGCAAGCGTGATCCAACATTTACTCAAAGTCCAAGGGGGAAGGGAAGCTAGAACAGTGGAAACACAACAAACAGAACAGAAGTGAGAATGCTGACACACTGTGCAAACTGGAACCAATGCCACAGGATCATTATTTTAAAAACATGTAAACAGGAGCTAAATTTGCTCTGACAAGTTTCACCTAAAATGCAAAATATTAATCAAATAAAAACGGCTATAAATTTAAGATTTCTTTTCTTTTAAAGAGAGGGTTCTCACAATCTATAGGTATAATTCAATCCCAATCTAGATCCCAACATTCTTTAAAGAAATGGAAAAAATGATTATAAATTGTAAGTGGAAAGGAAAGCATCCCCAGATAAGCAAAGCACTGCTTAAGAAGAAGAACAAAATTGGAGGCCTCTCCCTCTCTGATTTCAAAATTTACTACATGACTACAGTGGTTAAAACAGCCTGGTTCTGGTACAATGAAAGATACATAGATGAAGGAAACAGAATTGAGAATCCAGAAATTAACCCATCCACATATACCCAACTGATCTTTGACAAAGGGCCAGAGTACACTGAATGGAGGGGAGACAGTCTCTTCAACAGATGGTGCTGACAAAACTGGAAATCAATATGCAAAAGAATGAAACAAAACCTTTGTCTCACACCATGTACAAAAACCAACTTGACATGGATTAAAGACCTAAAAGTGAATCCCAGAATTATAAAGGTCATCAACAAAAAAAGAGAGACAAATTTAAGGGCTCTGATACAGGGCACACAAAGACTATCAAATATTACAAAAATTGTACAAACACAAGACAAAATAGATTATTGGGACATACTAACAATTAGAAACTTATGTACATAAAAAGATTTCACCAAAAGAGCAAAAAGGGAACCCATAAGACAGCAAAAATTATTTTTTTTGCAACGACATTATCAGACAAGGGACTAAGCTCTAAAATCTGTAAGAAACTACAACACCTCTACAAGAAAAAGACAAATAGTCCAATTAAAACATGGGCACAGCACATGAACAGACACTTCACCAAGGAAGACATTGAGGCAGCCAAAAAACATCAAGCAATGTTCATGGTCATTACCCGTTGTTGTTGTTATTGTTGTGAAGTGTCGTCGAGTCAGTTCCGACCCATAGCGACCCTATAAAGAGTTTCCGAGGAGCAGCTGGTGAGCTTGAACTGCCAACCTTGCAGTTCAAATGGCTTTTCAGTCTGGCAAATTAACCCACAGCACCACACCAGGACTCCCATTACCCATTAGAGAGAGATGCAAATCAAAACTACAATGAGGTATCATCTCACAACAGAAATTAACAGCGAAGTTCAAAGAAGCAGAGGACAAAAAGCACTGGTGAGAATGTGGAAAGACTGGGACCCTCCTACACTGCTGGTGGGAATGTAAATGGTTCAGTTCCACTCTGGACAACATTCCTCAGAATGCTGGAAATAGAAATACTTTATGATCCAGCAATTCTGCTTGATATGTATGCACAAGAATACAAGCCAGAACATGAGGAACTAGGTGCACACCAATGTTTACTGCAGCACTATTCACAACAGCAAAAAGACGGAGGCAGCCTAAGTGCCCATCAATGGAAGTATGGATAAACAAACTTTGGAACATACACACAGTGGAATACTATGCTGCCTTGAAGAATAACGACGAAGCTGCAAAACACCGCATAACATGGATGAACCTCGAGGACATTATGCTGAGTGAAATTAGTCAGTCATAAAAGGACAAATACTGCATAAGACCATTATTGTAAAAGTTTGACAACAAAAAAAATGTACATACTAAAAGAAAAAAAAAAATCTGTGATGATTATCAGGGGTGGGATGGAGGAGGCAGTAAGGCACAGGTTAGGGGATAGTCACATCATAGCTCCAGTGATGGGGAGGGCAATATACACAAGAAGTAGAAGGAGTATGGAAGAACAAGGAAGACAGGGCAACACTATTTGCATGGGCTAAATGCGACAGAGATAAATGGTGATGTATACTCAACCTTGGAACAGGGCTCTGTGATACAGGGATTGGGGCATAGACTGAAGAGCTAAAAGAGAGGAAATAATGTTAAACTGCTTCACTCTCTTGTGGATATTGATTTACCTTGCCTATTATAAAAAGGAGCTCTGGTAGCGTAGTGGTTACGAATCGGGCTGCGAACCTTAAGGTCAGCGGTTTGAAATTAACAGCTGCTCCGCGGGAGAAAGATGAGGCTTTCTACTCCCATAAAGATTTACACCCTCGGAAACCCTGTACAGGGTTGCTATGGGTCGGAACCGACTCCACGGCACTTAATAACAACAACATTATAAAATAAGGAGCTCTGGTTGCATAGTGGTTACGAAATTGGGCTGCTAACCTCAGGGTCAGCAGTTTGAAACTACCAGCTGTTTGGTGGGAGAAAGATGAGGCTTTCTGATCCTGTAAAGATTTACAGCCTCAGAAACCCTGTACAGGGTCGCTATGAGTCGGAACCAACTCCACGGCACATAACCACCACCACTATTACAAAATAAGACATTTAAGTGGGATAGAAAGGAGTATCAGGAAATATGATTATTACAGAAAGCTTGTAAGCCCATCTTCAGCTTATAACTTACTAGGATATGTGAAAGGGGTTCTAGAACTTCCCAGTAAAATAGGTTTCTTGTGGATTCTTTGTAGTGTATAGGACCTTAGGTGGAATCCTGAGCCCCATCTGAGGTGGAACATTCCCACTTGAAAGGACAAGCAAACCAGCCTGGAACAGCTACAGCAACAGAAGATACTTCTAGAAAGAAAGACCAGCAGGAAAAAAAAAAAAGAGAGAGAAAAGCAGACTGTTTGGCTATCACAAGAACAAACGAGCTGTTCGTTTGTTCATGAGAGCCATTAAGAGAAACCATCTAGGTCCTTCAGAACAAACCCCCTTTCAAGACTGAAACTCAAAGGGAACACACGAGCAGGTTTGTAAGTGACTGCCTTGGTACACTTATGAACGAAGTGAGGGAAAGGTAGCAATAAAGACATGAGATGAGTTTGACCATGTTCCACAGACTCTTGCTGTGTTTGAAATGAGAGAGAAGAGGAAGGGCTGGTTGGTTCAAAGTGTGGGAAAACTTGGAAACTATTGAACCCATGGATATTGACCTAGCCACTGGGGTTAGAGCTGAGTGAAGTGTCCAGCTGACATGAAGTGGAGGGAGGCGTGCAAGATCACCCAAACTTGCAGACAGTACCCATTTGACCTAGTTTAAATGGCTTGATGATCAGAACTCGATTTATTGTTGTTAGGTGCCATCGAGTGGGTACTGACTCATAGCGACCTTATGCAGAACTCGATTAGAGAAAGATAAAGAAGTTTGATACAAGAAGCAAGTGTAAATTGCTACAATTTGATGAAATTGACCTTTGCTTATGGATATAGTTGCTCAAAACACCAATGGAGGGGAAGGATTCTACACATCAAGGATCAAATCTTCTTAGCTGTTGTTGTTAAATGCCATCAAATCAATTCTGACCCATAGCGACCCTGTACTGGGTTTCCAAGGAGCAGCTGGTGAGCCTGAATCACCAGTCTTACAGTTCAAATGACTTTGCAGTCTGATGCATTAGCCCACAATGCCACACCAGAAACTCCTCAGTACACAGGGCTAATAGGGATAGGCAACTTAGAGACATTGGCTATCTAAAATGGGGGTGGGGGTGGAGAGGCTAAAAGACACAAAGCAGCTGGCTTACAAATTTTCAAGAGGGAGTTTAGTTTCAGAATTAGCAGCAGAAGGCAGAATCTCTACTGAATAGAATTCTTTTGATTCAACAGTGAGTAACTGTT